TATATATGTATGTATAATACCAAAAGCCTCTAAATGCTTTTCCCTTCAGCACATTGTTGTGTTTATAAAGAGTTCATCTGGTCCCAAATGAGGCAGTGGTCATGTCCGCCTAGTGGTCTGGCTTAGTTACTGTTTGCAATCAATCTTTTCGGTGTTCCATGCATAATGTCTGTTATTTTGACAGGTAAAAGAATTGTACTTGTAAATTTGATTTGTACTTGTAAATTTGATTCGTACCTGTAATGTGGCAAAGTTGTAACTTTTTAACTTATATTTGTAACTTAAAAACTTGTATTCTTACATAAGAATTGTACTTGTAAATTTGATTCGTACTTGTAAATTTGTTTTGTACTTGTAAATTTGATTCGTACTTGTAAATTTTATTTGTACTTGTAAATTTGATTTGTACTTGTAAATTTGATTCGTGGCAAAGTTGTAACAAATTTATGTATGTTTATAGACTTACACGTACAAATTTAGACTCTTACACATACTATAATTCTGAYAGTTATCTTATCCCATAAAAAAATCCAAACATCAGCCATGTTTATGTAATAACGGCTTTGTCATCCATTTTAACTTTACAAGTTAGCAAGACTAGTTTATGCCACCAGTAATCAGCATGGCCAGGAACCTTACCTTGCCTGCCACCAAACATTCATCGCTCCCGACCTTGGCAGTTGTCCCTGCAGGTGGTTGGTTCATGCAGAGCTGGCATTCACAAGTGATAATAGGATGGAGCAGAAGACGAGTCAATGGATTGGGGCCTCATCCTCAGTATTGAGGACGTTGCTTTGGTAGGTCATAGTGAAGGAAGAGCTGAGTCGAAAGGCAAATCTCTTTAAGCTCTTTACTGGTGTGTCTATGTTCCAACCCTCACGTATGGTAATGAGACGTGGATCATGACTGAAAGAATGAAATCCTGAATACAAACGAGGTTCCTACATGTGGCCAAAGTAGAGTTGTTCCTTCACATTAAAAGGAGTCAGTTGAGGTGGTTCATCTGATTAGAATGCCTCCTGGCGTTCTGGTCACGTCCTGCTGGTAGGGCGCTCCAATGAAGACCCAGAACTGAAGGGATTACGTATCCTCTGGCCTGGAACTGCCTTGGAGTCCCCCAGGACGAACTGGAAAGTGTTGCTGGGGAGAGGCATGTTTGTGTTTCTCTCATAGACCTGTTGCCTCCTTGACCCGAATATGGAAAAGTGGTAGAAGGTGGAGATGGAGAACTTAAGGCAGTTGTTTTTTTATGTATTTGTTTTTGTTTTTTTAGTTTTTATATTTGATACAGGTTAAGAACATTCAGTTGCACTGTTTCTGATTCACCAAAAGCCTTTTCACACCTTTTAATCATATTCCTTTTTACTGAGTCATTGTTGAATATCATCAAGCAGAACACACATCTTACTTCTATCCTTCCTTCCCGCTGCATTAAAGAACATCTGCAGGTTTACAGTATTTGTATTTACCATGGAGACATTTTGACTCTAAAAGCATCTTAAGAGTAAAAATGAGACCAGCTTCCATCTTTTCTTTCAGACCACTTGTTAATAACCCAATTTGTAGTACCCGCCTGCAGATGTGGACTAGCTTACAAGTTAGCACGGAGGCTTCATTAGATCAGACAGGCAGATATTGTGGTGTACTTTGTCTGCTTGCTATTCTGAAATATTGCTCAAAGTGTGCCTATTTGAAGCTTATTTCAGTGCTTCATTGAAACATGTTTTATTTGTTGAACAGGCTCTGAAAACACTAGATATTATTATGACCCCCGCACCCGAAGCGTAAACGGGAGTGTTTTCGTGCATTTTTTATTTTATTTTGTTTGTCAGTGATTTTTGGTCAACCGTAGCACAAAAATGGCTGCACCGATCAACATGAAATTTTGCATGTGGTGTAGATGWGTCTGACCTACACTGCGCCAGCCAAGGGTTTGACGATACACCCCATATTTGAGGAGGGGGCTCCATTCAAAAGGGGGGGGGGCATTCAAAAATGCTTACAACTCAGAAACTGTTCAACATAGGAGCTTCAGAATTTTTTTGTTATTTAGCTCTAATGAACGGCTATCCATCAGGCCCACCAATCAGTGCCCCCACCCCCCGGACTCCCAATTTTTTTCTGAAAAAGGGGTATCTGGACATACAAAAATGGTTATAGCTCAAAAAGTATTAAACATAGGAGCTTCAGATTTATTTTGTGTTTAGCTCTGATGAAGGGCTATCCATCAGGCCCACCAATCAGTGCCCCCACCCCCCGGACTCCCAATTTATCTGAAAAAGGGGGCTCTGGACATGCAAAAATGCTTACAACTCAGAAACTGTTCAACATAGGAGCTTCAGAATTTTTTTGTTATTTAGCTCTAATGAACGGCTATCCATCAGGCCCACCAATCAGTGCCCCCACCCCCCGGACTCCCAATTTTTTTCTGAAAAAGGGGTATCTGGACATACAAAAATGGTTATAGCTCAAAAAGTATTAAACATAGGAGCTTCAGATTTATTTTGTGTTTAGCTCTGATGAAGGGCTATCCATCAAGCCCACCAATTAGTGCCCCCCCCACCCCACCTCCCACCCCCCAGACCCCCAATTTATCTAAATAAAAAGGGGTATCCGGACATACAAAAATGGTTATAGCTCAAAAACTATTAAACATAGGACCTTCAGATATTCTTTGCTTGTTTAGCTCTGATGAGGGGCTATTCATCATGCCAACCTATGGGCAACACCCCCCCCCCTCCAAAAAAAGACCCCCATCCAAACCAGTACAATTTTGGGATGCATGACATTTATGAGGAATAAAGACTTTTGAGTTCTGAGAGAAGCGGTTGTGTTTTCTTCTAGAGCACCTGACGGAGAAGCCCAGGAACTGACAGAATTTGCTTTTACATGCAAGACTGTGTCCTGCTGTGACTGACAGATCATGTGGTGTCAGGACATGACATTTTTGCATCAGCCTGGAGGAAAAATAGTTGGGGGGGGAGAGGGGAAGAGAAAAGAAATGCATGTAGTGCAGCCTGACAGCCTCTTTTATTGGTTGGGCTCTAAACTGTCAGTGAGGGGCTTCCTGTCGTTCTGACTGGTCATCATTCTGTTCCCCCCTCTGAGACATTCAGTGACACCCTGTGAAATCCCTGGGTGTCATACGCCCTCCTCACGTTCCTGTGTTTGAGTGGTGTGTATGGCCCAAGCTTTTAAGTGAATCCAACAAAATGTGTCTCAGCAGGAGAGGACCCTGAGACGAGACGCATGAGGACGGTGAAGAACATCGCCGACCTGCGGCAGAACCTGGAAGAGACCATGTCCAGTCTACGGGGGACACAGATCAGCCACAGGTAGGTGCACAAATGCTATTGCCCTCTACTCTAAGTTAATGGTAGATGAGTTTTTTTAGTCATATTTAAAGTCCAACACCCACCATTATAGTCCCAAAGGCTCTTTAGATTACGATATTTATATTTTTTTAACATTTGGGTCACGTAAGTGGTAAAAACACGAGCACACAAGCAATGACTTCAAATGTGTGATGACATTCGACATGGAGGCCTATAAAGCAGAACATAAAATACTCCCATTCTCCTTCAGCTATCAACCTCACATTGCACCAATTCAACAAAGGGAAATGTGTCCCAAATGTTCACATTTTTTTACAATTATTTTATTCTTTCCTCTGTGTTTGAAAAATTGAATTAAATCAGGCATCACCTTTCTCAACAGTTTTGCAATGGTATTAAAGATTTGATAGATGGCCTTATTGTCCCATCAGTGGTCTGATGGCATCAATTCCAACAGCAAAAAGTAAAGAGTGCAACTTGCACAGAGACAAAAATAAAAACCATTGCAATTTGTCGGCTCCCTGAGCAACAGTCCACTCCTCGTCTCTCTCCTTTTCCCTCAGTCTATTATTTTGTGTCTTTTGCCCCATTTAGAAGGGAGGATGATGGCCAAACTGTCGACATCCATGACAGATGGCTGTCTGTGTCTGTGGGTGTGTGTGTGTGTTTGTTTTCCCCTTTTTTATTTCTCCGAGGAGTCTCAGCCAGGCGAGATCAATACAGCGCCACCACGTTATCACCAGAGTTAATGGAACCTACAGGTTTCTCGTTCATCAAATGCACAAGGAAAGTCAGCATGCAATATCTGGAAAAAGCATCATCAGACCGGTGCGTTGGCATTGTTTCAAGCGTGAGGATTCCTGTGTATCTTTTGGGTTATTTGGAGCAGTATTTGCAGGAAATGCCAAATTAAGATTGCAGCAGCCTCAAGCAGGTACAACATGAGCCAGAGACAAGTTTTCTGCTATTACATTTAATGAAAAATTAACTTAGTGTTTTTGTGAATGACGTGTTGATATTCTGAATGCTTTAGAGAATGCATGAGAATTCAACCAATGACAGGAACCTTGTCAGACCATGATAATCTCTCTCCTGGATAAGAAAATTGCTGTAATCACCTCAAAGCTTCGGATCACCTCTGACAATTGATGTCTGTTATGTTCCAGCAGATGTGACTGGTTCATCACTCTGTCCTCTGTGTTTCCCTGTAGGTTTTATTATATCTTTGATACCCGTTTATATTCCAACAAATCAGTTTTTGGGATTGGATCAATTCTTCATTTTTACGACTAACTACAACAAAGTCATTAAACATTTATTTATCAGATGCAGTGTGGTGTAATAGTATTCACTCCCTCAATTTTGTTTCGTCACTACCTGAAATTTAAAAGGAATTTTATGGGGCTTGTGATTTATTCGTTTATATAATATAACTATCACACTGATGCTCATGCCAAAGTACAGAACCATGACCATAATACCAAGGTGCATACAAAACCTTGATTTATCTATTATAGCAATGGATGTCCAAACTGTGACCCACATACTGAGGTGCGTACCAAACTGTGACCATTGTACCAGGGTATGTACAGAAAGAACCATGACATTGTACCAAGATACTGTACATACAGAAACTTAATTTATCCATTATAGCAATGGACATCCAAATCTTGACCCTCATACTGAGGTATGTACTGAACTGGCCATAATGTCTTGGCATTATCCAAACTGTGACCATTAACTATTGTACTAATGGATGTCCAAACCATAAACTTCATACTAAGCTAAGTACCAAACTGTGACCATTATACATTGTATGTAAAAAACGATGACTATTATGCCAAAGTACATACAAAACCGTGACAATAATACTAAGATACCTATAGAATCTTGATTTGTGAATTATACCAAACCGTGACCATCATAACGAACTGTGACCCTGATGCCAAGGTACATCCAAACTGTGATCATTATCCAATATACCAATGGTCATCCAAACTGTAGCCATTATACCAAATGATATGCAAACTGTAACCTTCATACAGTATGTACCAAACTGTGACCATTACACCAACTTACATTCAAAACCGTGACCGTTATATCAAGGTTATTTCAGAGCCATGGCATTATGTCAAGTTAAGTACTGTGATTTATCCAATGGACGTCCAAACTGTGGTCCTAATACTGAGTTATGCACCTGAGGTATGGACCAATCTTTGGCCTTCATCCTGTGGTATGGACCAAACTGTGACCTTCATACTAATGTACATACAGAAACAGGACCCTCATATTGATACCAAATTGCGACTTCTGTGTATCTTTATACCCCCAGCTGATATTGTTCTTTGATTTGACACCTTCAGAATGGATATGTTACCAGCATGATTATTCTGATTTTTGATGATGTACAGTAGTACCATTTTGATTAGTTGTAATTTCTTGTCAACAAAAAGTAATGAGCTTCTCTGAGTCAAAATGAATAATTATGAAATAATGTTATCTCACAAAAACATGCTCTTTTGTCTCGCGATATGACAAATAAATTAACACACAATTAAACCTAATGAATAAAACAAAGGTGTCAAGCTGAGATGACTTTTTAGTTAAAATGGTTGATCTTCATAGAAAATTCATATTTTCAAGCTCCAGCCGTTCTTCAGTAAAAGCTAAATCCAAATAATCTGTGCCTAGAGTTTTTGTAGACAAGGTCCTAATTATTTTCCAAGTTAATTTCACGTTGCTTCTTCTGAAAAAGTTAAATGCAAATCTATGGACAACTGTTAAAATAACTGTCTGTTATTATATCATTTACAGTATTTGAAACAGCAGTCTAAGAAGCCTAAAACGTCTTTCTCCTTTCACTGAGCAAGTTTATCTTATCTTGGGTTTTTCAGCTTCATGGATGTCCACAACATTTAATTTCCCACAGCCGTTTCTCTTGTCCACACAAAGAAAACTGGTATCGATTGGCATCAGCAAGRAAAACATAAGCACCGTGTGTGGAGACAGAATGTGATTCTCGAGGATGAACCCAGCTTAGCTCACACTGTCTGTCTTCAGTCTCACAGGGATCCACCAACTGTCACATGACATTTTGATTGTAATAGCTTTACCGTGTCGGCTTTGTTTGTTTTGTGTTTACATCAGGAAAACAAAGAGAGATTGTGGGGTACAATATTTATTACTTTAGACAGATTGCTAATGGTCAGTTTTGGTCCATTTTTAGGCATATGTTATGTTGTATGTATGTTGTAATATGTTATATTTTATGTATATTCTTTTTACCAGAAAGCTTTTTGGTGTGATGTTAGCTCTAAAACAGCTGTAATGCACTGAACAACCCAATTACACAACCCTGGAAGTAATGACAGGTCAAAGTMAGAAGTACTTTTTGGTTCTTCACAATATTCTTGTTATAAGTGAGAGGCGAAGTGACATAATGGGACATAATGAAAGGGAGGAGACTCACCTCCAGAGGAGATGAGTAATGATGGAAAGTCACCGGAGTGTGTGTGTGTGTGTGTGTGTGGTCTTTCCTCCAACACACTCCCTATGATGTCGTCTCCATCTCTGTGTGCGTTGTGACCTTCAGTGCTGAAATGGATTAACCTCACTAACATTGACAGCAGCCACATTGTCAACATCTTGCTCTCCGGTGGGCGGACTCCTCTTCCATTTAAAGTACAACCCAACAGATTCTAACTGGATAATTGAACAGGTTGAGCAGCAGCAGAAAGGTTAACCTCAAACATCCTGCCTGTGGCGTGCAGAGCTGCACGCTGAACTCCATGATTTGTTTGCTAATACGATCAATTAGAACAGAAGGTTTTCTCTTTTTAGACTGGTAATTTGCTTCTGCTTGTCTTTTTTTGAAAAGTTAATTTAAGGTCTGACTGTATATTGAGTTTCTGTTTGAAGAATTGTTTTTTTCTTTTCTTTATTAAAGTCTAGCTCTGATCTAATTATACACGAGTAAACGCTACTGACATCCTCATGAAGGTTTCTTTTTATGTTGTCCTGTCACTAAGTATGAGTATAATTCCATAAATGATTACAGGATGCTGAGGGACAAGCTGTGGTGTTGACTGATACAGGACATGTTAGACTGATACAGAACATGTATCAGGACATGTTAGACTGGTACAGAACATGAATCAGGACATGTTAGACTGATACAGAACATCTATCAGGATATCTTAGACTGGTACAGGACATGTTAGACTGGCACAGAACATGTATCAGGACATGTTAGACTGGTACAGGACATGTTAGACTGGTACAGGACATGTTAGACTGGTACAGAACATCTATCAGGACATGTTAGACTGGTACAGGACATGTTAGACTGTTACAGGACATGTTAGACTGGTACAGAACATCTTTCAGGACATGTTAGACTGGTACAGGACATGTTAGACTGTTACAGGACATGTTAGACTGGTACAGAACATCTTTCAGGACATGTTAGACTGGTACAGGACATGTTAGACTGTTACAGGACATGTTAGACTGGTACAGAACATCTTTCAGGACATGTTAGACTGGTACAGGACATGTTAGACTGTTACAGGACATGTTAGACTGGTACAGAACATCTTTCAGGACA